CTAGAATACTTTGTATCAGTAGACTAGTCTAGATATTCTAGTTTTTACCTAATTTCACTGCTCACAAATGTTTCTACTACCTGGATCTTTGGTGTTACGTGCTGAGTTTGACCAGAGCAGTGCTTATAAACCAAGCACTGGTATTTAGGGTGGGGGTGTGGTTTAAAATAGCATATGCTGTATCACAATGCCAAAAAGTTTGACTCAGATCTCACTGTCTAGATAAACCACCTCTAGACAACTAGATCTTCTCTTCTCTTTGACCTCCAGGACCTGCTGCAGTTATTTCCAATATTTCTGCATAGTAATTTTACTCCTCATAGTATTAGTTGCTTCTACTTTTATTTTCTTTTCATTTTCATATCAATCTATTTTGTAAACAGTCTTAAATCCTTTTTGGAATGAGAGTGAATATATTAATAGAAGGAAAGTTGAACAGTAAAGATAGGTCAGTGGAAAACAGATACTAGATAGGAAATGATAGTTAATAGCTTTTCATCAAAAGAGAAATAAAATTCATAAAAGCATTAAAATTTATAAAAATAAACACAAACACAAAAAATAGCTGTACAAGATTATTTCTGTATATAGAGCAAACCCTCATAGAATATGAATTATATAATTTAAAAAACCACCAAATCCACTGCCATTGAGTCGATTCTGACTCATAGCGACCCTAAAGGACAGAGCAGAACTGCCGCATAGGGTTTCCAGGGAGTGCCTGGTAGATTCCAACTGCTGACCTTTTGGTTAGCAGCTGTACCTCTTAACTACTACATCATAATATTATAAAATTTTATATCATCTAGAAAAGTTTTAGTTTTGTTTATGAAAACAAAAGACTCTGTAAGAGTTTACAGAAAAAATTGCCATAAAATGTTTCTTTAATTAAGTTTTATCACTTAAAGGAGTAAATTTAAATTGTAGAGGAAATTCACTTATCAGGAAGAACTCATTCTCTCGTGATATTAGATAAAAGAAGAGTTAATGTTACCTTCTTTTAACGTATAACAAATAATGTTTATATAATAGTTTCTAGCTACCTAGTGTTATCTAGTTTTACCCAGTTGTTCATAAGTTTCATGTTTAAGAGTGGCCAAACATACTAATTTTGAAATTCAGAAAAAGAACTGGATGCTTAAAACTTTCTCATGCTTAACTGAATTAACTAATCAATTATGAATTAATACATCAATATCAAAAATACTAAGGTAAACTCACTCTCTCTACATTATCTTTTTATATTAAAAATAACATTCAACTAATACATAAGTTTAAGCATACAGCCTACGCCCATAAAATAGGTAAGATGCTATTATAACACCTGACACACCTTCTTCCTTGCTTGGTGCCCTGTGAGGCTCAGTGCTGTTTGGTTCTTCATCTTCTTGGTATTTCTGAGTAAGTCTCAGAAAAAGTGCCCTCTGTACTGCAGGGAGGAGACCTGGTGCAGTCAGAGGGCTGTGGGCCGTCAAACTGCTGCCGTCACACCCACTCCTGTGGTTATGTGAGTCCTGAACAATGGGAGGCTGATGCTGGGCAAATTCACCATGCCATATTTCATCTATATTTGTAACACAGAAAGAGACAGACACTGATTTAGCACTAAAACCAAACCAAAGTCGTTGCCATCAAGTCGGTTCCAACTCACAGCAACCCTGTAGGACGGAGTAGAACTGACCCATAGGGTTTCCAAGGAGGGGCTGGTGGATTTGAACTGCTGACCTTTTGGTTAGCAGCTGTTACCACTTACACACTGTGCCACCAGGGCTCTGATTTAGCACTAGAGAGTACTAAATGGAGTAATAATAATAATAATACTAAATAGGGAATACTAAATTCCACTACCAATTCCACTTGACGGTACTGTTGTGAGTTATAAGAAACTGAAGCTCTAATAATCACATTTTATTATCAAATTAAGTTGTATTATTTCAAAAGTTTGGTTAAATTGAAAATATATTTGAAGGTTTTAACTTTATAACATCTTACCTAGTTTTATTTAAAACATACATTCCTACCATTTTTTTCCTTTAACGAAAGGTAGAGCTTTACTTTGTTTTAATTAGAAATGAGCTGTTTTAAAGTGTCAACTTACCACCAGAGCTACTGGGAAGCTGGAGACTGTGGACAGCATGATGATAGTAATGCCCATAACACTCAGCCGGCTTCTGTAGGGACTCGCAACTGGTGTCGCGCTGCACTTCACCAGGACTTTGCTGGTGTAATGAACCTGGAGAAGAGTGGTTTTCTAGAGATACATTCATCGTGTGTCCTTCAAAGTCCGAGGAGTGGTGAGAACCACTCATACTAGGTGGTATCAAAGGTGGACCTGGTTGGACGAGTACTCCAGCTTGACTGTGAGTGCCTACAACTCCAAGCGGGCCAGGCGGCAAAGGTGGGCTCTGTGGCATAGGTAGACCAGGAGTTCCTGCACACGGGTGATGTCCAGGGGAGCCCGGGTGCATCACAGGACTGTTGTGTTCCTGAGACACATTAGGTCCAGGACTTGACCCAGAACTATAGATGTGTTGAGGGTGTGGGCTGCTTCCCTGAAATTGTGGTCCTGGTGGTGAGGCACTGTTATAACATGCTGGTGTTCTATAGACAAAAAAGAATAATGTCTCTTAGTTCAAAGAAAAGAGATTTAAGAAGAATGTTACACTTCTAAATAGATATTGGTAAAGTGTTTCTTCTATATCAGAAGAGACTACTATGTTTTTAAGAAGCAATTTACTCCATGTCACCCACAGATGGAAACACTGCACATGTGCCTTGCCCTCATTTCAGTCCACAGTTTTCATAATTGCTGCTTACTATTAGCTGTTCTAAAACATACTTATTATAGAAATTGTGAAAGATATAGAAAAGTATAATGATAAATAAGAATCACCTCTAATGCCACCACCCAGACCCCAGAAAGCATGGCCCCTGGATTCTCTATCAGCCCAGAACTAAAACAATTTCCGAGGCCAACTCTTCAGACAGGGATTGGACTGGACTGTGGGACATAAAGTGATACTTGTGAGGAGTGTGCCTCTTGGCTCAAGAAGATACAAGAGACTAAATGGGCAGCTTCTGTCCGGAGGTGAGACAGGAAGACAGAGAGAGTTAGGAGCTGGTTGAATGGACATGGGGAATCGGGGGTGGAAAGGAGGAGTGTGCTGTCACAGTATGGGGAAAGCAATTAGAGTCATATAACAATGTATGCATAAATTGTTGTATGGGAGAAAAAAAAGGCATATAATTCCACCACCCAGAGATACATTTTTTTCTTGGTTCTCTTGTAGTCCTGTTTCTAGACATATACAGACTTTTAAACAATACAGTTAGAATCATACTGTATAAACCTACAAGCTCGACTGCTAACCAAAACGTCGGAGGCTCGATTCTACCCAGAAGCACTTCAGAAGAAAGGCCTGGAGATCTACTTTCAAAAAATCAGCCATTGAAAAACCTATGAAGCACAGTTCTACTCTGACACATATGGGGATGCCATGAACAGAAATCGACTGAATGGCAACTGGTTTATATAAACATACAACTTTTTTTTTTTTTTTACAATTTCAAATTGGTTATCGCTGGCACACAAAAATGCTTTTAGTTTTTGAATGCTGCTCTTCTTTCTGGCATGTTGCTAACTCAATTATTATTTCTAATAGTTCTGTCAGTTGGTTCTTTTCGATTTACTGAGGGAAACTGATGAAATAATGAGTCCGCCTCTCCATTTCTAATTTTCATACCTTTTATATCTTTCTCTCATTGCATTGAGTAGGATCTAATATACAATATTAGCAAAATAGTGGACATACTTGTCTTCTTCCTGACTTTAACAGAAATACTTTTAATGGTTTACATTAATTGTGATATTTGCTGTAGACTTCTTGTTTCTCACTTGCTGAGACCCACCACTTCCCTGAGTGTTCAGGGTTAAAAGTCAACAATGGGACTTTAGGCCCAACTGCACAGACCCTGGGAATGGTGTTGTTATAAAATGCTAATCTGGATCCTGGAAAACTTACACCGAAGTTTTGCTCCAATAAGGAAATACTTCTCTAAAAAAATGAGATATGCTGGAGACATATTTACCCACTATCAGAAGAAATGGAGCCCTGGTGGCGCAGTGGTTAAGAGCTACGGCTGCTAACCAAAAGGTCGGCAGTTCAAATCCACCAGCTGCTCCTTGGAAACCCTATGAGGCAGTTCTACTCTGTCCTATAGGGTCACTATCAGTCAGAACCAACTTGATGGCAATGGGGTAGTTAGAAGAAATTAATAAACTACAATGCAGTCTCATAACCAGGTGGCAGGAATGACAATTTCAAGCACCTGGGAATGCCCTTCCGGATTACTGAAGCTATGTGAGGGTTCCAGAGAGAAGAGCACTGACGGCAGGCAGCAGAGGGTGGGAACAAAGAGAAAGGGGGGAGCAGCGATCTGTGTGCCTGCCGCGATCTGCTGTCTCTACCTGAGTTTGACCACACGGTTGTGGAATGCAAGTCATTTTTTAAATGAGAATTTTTAGAAAAAAAGCTGCTGCCATTTTTTTTTTAACTTACTTCTTCCCAATCTTGTGTGCCAAATCCACAGTAGGTTTTACAACTATTTCAAAAAGAGATGGAATTTTCTTGAAATCATCAGAAAGATCTGTCAGAAAATCATCTTCAGGTTCAGAAAAAGAAAAATGCTCTGGTGGGGTTGGCAGAAGCCCAACTCCTGGAGGTGGTTTGGGAAGAGGAGTTATGCCACGTTTTCTAAGTTCTTCTAATTCTCTTTCATCTTCATTTGTGGGTTCTTCATCAGTATTCAACACCTAAAAATAGTTGGCAAAGATTACTATTTCAACTAATGGACCACGACTATCACAGCCTCCACCAGACTGAGTCCAGCACAACCAGAAGGTGCCCAGCTACCACCACTGACTGCTCTGACAGGGATCACAATAGAGGGTCCCAGGCAGAGCTGGAGAAAAATGTAGAACAAAATTCTAACTCACATAAAAAGACCACACTTACTGGTCTGACAGAGACTGGAGAAACCCTGAGGGTATGGCCCGTGGACACACTTTCAACTCAGTACTGAAGTAACTCCTGAGGTTCAACCTTCAGCCAAAGATTAGACAGACACATAAAGCAAAATGAGACTAAATGGGCACATCAGCCCAGCGGCAAGGATGAGAAGGCAGGAGGGGACAGGAAGGCTGGTAATGGGGAACCCGAGGTCAAGAAGGGGAGAGTGTTGACACGTTGTGGGGTTGGCGACCAACGTCACAAAGCAATATGTGTATTGTTTAATGAGAAACTAATGTGCTCTGTAAACCTTCATCTAAAGCACAATAAAAAAAATGGAAAAAGAAATATTAATTCACACACCAAGAAGGAGCATTGGACAAGGGGTCAGTAAAATTGGATTTTTGTAGTTGGGGGAAAGTTGTGACCTCAGGGTACCATACCATAGTTGCCTAATTTTAAAAGTGATGAGGCAGAAACAAGTAACCCCTAACGTGGAGGCTGTCAAAGTTGTTTGCACATTTGAATCACTTGGGGGAACTTTTTAAAACTCCCCATGCCCAGGCTGTACCCATACCAATTAGGCCAGAATCTCTGAGGGTGGGACCTGGGCCTCAGTATTTTTAAAGCTCCCCAGGTGATCCAGTGTGTGGCCAAGTTTGAAAACCATGGCTCTAAGGTCTCATCTAGCTCTAGTACTGAATTATTCTATCCCTGATATTTAAAATCAGCAAAATTAGGAAGAAGGGTGGAATGAGTATCTGGCAGGCAACTAGCAGTGTCTGTCACCTGAGATCTCAGAATTTTCTATCCACGCTTCTGTTTACCTGAAGGGATTGAAGGATACTCTCCACCAAAATGAGGAAGTAAAGAAAGAGGCAGACATGGGATCCAGGAAATGGGGAATCCACTAGGAAGTAGGTGAAGGGACTCTCCAAAGTGATATTGCTGAATAGGAATTAGAAAGCAACCAGTGTAGGGTGGAGCAGGAGGATAGGGGGCAGCTCCAGGAATGATGTCATGGGGGAAGAAAGGAATTGACAGCATATCCACTTGTTTAACTGGTTGGAAGGGAGCTGTCAGATTCAGCCAGAGTTTGGAAATAAACTCATAGTTGGTGTGGAGAAAACTAAGCATATAGGGAAAAAAGACAATTCCAGATAATACAAATTCGTACAAGGAAGAACATAAAATCACGGCTCAACTGTGAAGAATATTTGCATATTTACTTCATAAGTTCTGAATATAATTCTGGCCAAAAATTTTATTAAAACCTTTTTGGGAAGATGAGTGGGAAGGTAAAATATGTTTATTTACAAGGGTAATCCATATAGAAAGTATAGATTTATGAACTAAATCTATACTTTCTATTAAAAAAAAAAAAACAAACCCACTGCCATCGAGTCGATTCCGATTCATAGTGGCCCTACAGGACAGAGTAGAACTGCCCCATAGGGTTTCCAAGGAGCGGTGGTGGATTTGAACTGGCAAGCTTTTGGTTAGTAGAAGTATCTCTTAACCACTGTGCCACCAGGGCTCCATACTTTCTATAGGAATATTTAAATTGATGATATTTAAAGAGGAAAACACAATGGCCTAAGTATTCCTCAGAAATATCAAAATAAATAACTGAAAATAAAACAGATAAAAGTGGTTACCGTTAAGGATCAGAAATCAAGAGCAGGGTGAGGATCTGTTTTTTTTCATTTCAAACTATGTACACCATTAAGTTTGTTTAAAAAAAAAAAAAAGACAAAAGATGGAGGGGAGGTGGGCAGGGCCTATCATGCAGAGCTATGGAGACATGGGTTTCTGGTTTGGGGGCCTAGAAGCCTGGTGGCACCATTCCCTGCGATGGTGGCACTTGTCACGGGAAGGAGAAGAGATTCAGTAAGTGGTTCACCCTGCTTTCTCTGCCCCCTCCCCTGGGATTAGTAGCAGGTAGTTGTGAATTTAAAAAATATTCTGAATAGAATATTATTCATCTATAAAAAGAAATGAAATTCTGATACATGCCACAACATAGATGAATCCTGAAAACATTATGCTGACTTAAATAAGCCAGACACAAGAGGAGAAATACTGTGGGGTTTTGTTTATATGAAATATCTAGAATAGGCAAGTGCATTGAGATAGAAAGTAGACAGTGGTTACCCAGGGGATGGGGAGCGGAGGAATGGTGAATTGCTTCTTAATCGGTACGGAGTTTCCGTGTGGAGTGATGGAAAAATTTTAGAAATAAAGACTGGTGATGGTTGCACAACACTGTGAATACAATTAATACCACTGAATCTGCACATGTAAAAATTATTAAAATGCAAGTTTTTTGTTATATATATTTTACCACAATAAAAATGTTTTAAAATTATCAAATATACAACTTATGTCATGATGACTTATAAATACTTAAATAAAATAAAATAGGTGGGAAAAAAAATATTGTTTCAAAACAACCTCTCTTCCTCACATTTAAAACTGTGAAGACTTCAGTAAAGTGAAGACTTCCAGTAAACTAGAAAAATATTAATACCCAAGTTGAAATCAATCAGCTAATTCCTCACTTTTGACAAAGAGAATGAGGTTCAAAGTGGTAAGGATACTGCCCAAAGTAAATTAGCTTATTAAATGGCAGAACAAAGATAAGAACAAAAGACTGCTAATTCCCTAGTCCAATAATTCTGCTTTTCCAGCACACTATATTAACAGAATAAAACATACAATAAATCCTCAATTTCTCAGTAGGGTTTTGTAAAATATGATACGTCCTATCATGCACTAATGTCTCAAAGTAAGCTATTCAACTCAAATGAATCTGCGGTGAGAGCTAATAACCAAGTTACAAAAATATTACTCACTTTGTCCAAAAGTTTCTTTGTTTCTTTAGTCAGATCATCATGAGAAAATTTACAGTTGTCTCCTTGGTAACATTTTGCTCCAGAATGATAGAACTTGCATGGAAATTCATGTAAATAAAAATATTAAGGAACAGCCCAAAAATAACTGTGCTGAATCAGTAAGACTATATTAGTATTGAATTTTCTATAATCACATTAGATAAAATTATTTTTTAATTTTATTAAGAATATATATTTTATGATACCAAAACCAGGCAAAGACATCACAAAAAAAGAAAATTA